TATCTGCCTTTCATGTTCCTTTTGTTTTTCCTCAGCCTCAAATCTGGCTTATTCCAGCTTTTGTTGAACCGTGCAGTCTTGTCATCCTAACCTCTCTGTTTTTAAACTAACTTTACACCCGAGAGTTAGAAAGAAAACAAAACAAAACCAAAAAAAACTTGGCTTGTAAAATTTTGCTGTGCTGTCCGGATACCTTTTTGTTCTCTGATAGTGATTGTCAGCCTACAGAGAAATCCTTAACAAAAAAAACCCTAACACCTTTGTCTCCAGGCAAATAGGCAGAAAACCCCTCTAGTTACTCTTAGGTAAAAAAAAAAAAAAAAAAAAAACACTTCAGGTCTGTGAAGAACTACTGTGAAGAATTGTGAATTTCCCTGCAGGAGGTTAACTACCCTGCCTTTAGGTAGAGAAAACTCCAGCTAACAAAAGACAATTCCCTTTTGCCTCTGCTCTGGCCCCAAAGGAGAGAAAAAAAAACTCTAACTGCTTTCAGTTTAAAACCTGCTCTCCCTTTCAAATCTGTGCTTCTGGTTCAAAAAAATCTCAAAATGATTTCAAGTTGATCCCACCGCTCTGCCACCATGTCAAGGTTCCTTCCCCACTCTGAACTCTGGGGTACAGATGTGGGGACCTGCATGAAAACCTCCTAAGCTTACTTTTACCAGCTTAGGTTAAAACTTCCCCAAGGTACAAACTATTTTACCTTTTGCCCTTGGACTTTCACTGCCACCACCATACGTCTAACCGGTATTATTATTAGGAAAGAGTCCATTTGGAAACGTCTTTCCCCCCAAAAAATCCTCCCAAACATTACCCCCCTCCTTCCTGGGGAAGGTTTGATAAAAATCTTCACCAATTTACATAGGTGACCACAGACCCAAACCCTTGGATCTTAAGAACAATGAAAAAGCAATCAGTTTCTTAAAAGAAGAATCTAACGCATATCTAGCTAGATTACTTACTAAGTTCTAAGACTCCATTCCTGTTCTTTCCCCGGCAAAAGCATCACACAGACCGAGAAAGAGAGGCTTTGTTTCTCCCTCCCCGCAGCCTTTGAAAGTATCTTGTCTCCTCATTGGTCCTTTTGGTCAGGTGCCAGCGAGGTTATCCTAGCTTCTTAACCCCTTACAGGTGAAAGGGTTTTTCCTCTGGCCAGGAGGGATTTTAAAGGTGTTTACCCTTCCCTTTATATTTATGATGGGGGGTCTTCTGTGCTCTAAAAAAATCTAACAACATCACTCACCACATTAACCAGACCCTATTAGCTGACTCACCACCTCAACCTCCCTTAACATAGAGAGCGCTTGGGCCCTGCTCGCAATTATTATTCTTTGTGAATGCAAAAGTGGTAGCATAAAGATGTAAAAAGTTCAGAATACAAACTATAAAGTAGAGAGAGATAAACCAGAGATGCATAAATCAAAAAAAGAAAAATGTCTAAAGTGTCCAAAGGTCTTTGGTGGGCATCACAAGCTTTTGTCATTCAGTAGCCTTGGGGTCAGCAGCTGGAGTCTGCAACGTCCCTCTGATACACCAGCATAGGAGGAGCAGCCGTTTCAGTGCGTGTGCAAGTGGGCCTTGTGTGGCCAGAGGAGCCAGCAAAGCCTGACTGCCAAGCACAGCTGATCAGGCTACTGACAATTCTGGTTGTAATTCATCACATATTGCTCTATCTAGTTTCTACAGTCCCAGAAGTGTTTAATGAACTACTTAGGGGTCCTACAAGTATTTGATGTGATTAGACATTATCCCACTTAGAGGAATTCTCCCAGTTGCCTATTGTTTGCATCTAGCGCACTCACCATTTCTTTTTAAGGCAGCCAGTTGTTCCTTTGTGTTAATTTGACTCCATTGTCACCATGGTCATTATAAATAGCTCCTAATGACCAGCAGAAATGATTGTTGTGCAGGCTCTAAGTGAAGCCTCCGGCACATAAGGGGCTGATGCTGTTCATCAAATGGGCAGAGATTTCTGATCATTTCTAATGCAATTCATAGTTCTCTGAATTGGGCAATTCTGATATAATGAATCATTGTAACAATTTGGGGATGAATTTATTCTTCATAAAAGTGAGGGACTAACACAGCAGAATGAGAGCCCGACATCACTCAGGCAGGCATTCATTACACTAGCTTTTACCACACTGCTCTGCCAATCCTGACCTACCCTGTCCTGCTATTCCAGCCCTGCACCCATAGCAATCCTGCCAGTGTACCACACTAATGACCTGCAGAACTAGTACCTGTTACTATTCCAGTCCTTTGTGTCTCTGCCAACAAAACATTGAGGAATCCATCTTTGTACAGTACAATAACATTCTCAAAAAGATAAAGAAAGCATAACACCACCTCATTGACCTTTCTGCCCCTTGATCCTGAATTTCACCCATATTTATCCTAAATCCTGCTTTTAAGAGTCTACTCCACCAGCAAGAATGCCCGACAAACAAGCATCTAGGCAGGCAGCAGAACAAGAGCATAAATTCCGATGCACTGCTTCATTGCATATGGAGCCTCAAGTTCCCTTTTGCCAAACATGACATGACAGAAGCAACAGAAGATGGAAAACAGGAAGATGCAGAGGCCCAAAGAGCATCTGGAAAATATCCTACAAATAAGGCTACATTTTAGTCAGGGGTATTTTTAGTAAAAGTCATGGACGGATCATGGGCAGTAAACAAAAATTCATGGTCCGTGACCTGTCCATGACTTGTACTATATACTCCTGACTAAATCTTGGAGAGGGGGGCGGCCTGGGGAGTGCCACAGATGCTTGGTAGACTCCCTACCCGGCTCCGTACTCCCCAGAAGCAGCGACCTCCCTCAGCTCCCAGGCGGAGGCAGAGGCATGGCCATGCTGCATCCTCCCTGAGTGCCAGCTCCTCAGCTCCCATTGGCCAGGAACTGTGACCAATGGGAGCTATGGGGGCAGTGCGTGCAGGTGGAGGCAATGTGCAGAGCCCCCTGAACATGCCTCCCCCAAGGAGCTAAGGGATGTTGCCACTTCCGAGGAACCCCCTGAGGTAAGTATCACCCAGAGCCCTCACCCCCTCCCACATGCCAACTGCCAGCCCTGAGCCCCACACTCAAACTCCTGCTGCTGCTGGGGGAGGGGGGCGGTGACCCAAGACTGCCCCAGCAGCAGCCAGTGCGGCTGTCTGCTGCAGAAATCATGGAGGTCACAGAAAGCCATTAAATGTGTGACCTCCGTGACAAACTCACAGCCTTACTTATAAGACACCGTAATTCATAGATGCTGAGGCCAGAAAGAACCACTGTGATCATCCAGTCTGCCCTCCTGCATAACACAGGCCACAGAATGTCCCTGAAATAATTCCTGTTTGAACTAGAGCAGATCCTTTAGAAAAAATATCTAATGTTGATTTTAAAATTGCCAGAGATGGGGAATCCACCACAACCTTTGGTAAACTATCCCTATGCAATCTCCCTGGGGCTCTCTGTTTGGCCCAAACTTCCCACGCTGGTGGCCAGGACACTCTTCTCCTCACCTTCTCCCCCACCTCTCTGGTTTAACATGATTCCCCCCAACACACAGTTTTGCTTAGGGCTGACTTTCAAATTAGAGTATATCTCTACTGGATTCAGCCTCACAACGTTATCTCCATGTTACCCCTTCCTTACATAGCACGGTACCTGCTGAGTCATTTCCAATGCTGGGATTAAGCAATGGGATACAGCTGTAACAGCCTCCCTACGGCATCAGACTCTGGAAACTGACAGTTATCTGCTTGTATGAGGCCCTACCAGGAAGGAGACAGGTGGAGGGAGCGTACCAGTCACTTTGCTGCAGGGGGCCAGGGCAAGGTGCTCTGAGAGCCAGGATGAAGAGTAACAATCTCTTACTCTCTGCCTCCCCATTCCCCAAGCAGTGAACCCTGCACAATGCTGGTCTGTTTGCACTAAGCACTTTAGGGATCACTAGGGCGTGCACTCCCAAGTGGCACTGTCAAGACATTAGTGCATTAGTGATGTTAGGTCACCTTGTTTGAAGAGCCAGGCAGCAATACTGCATCCCAGTCATCGGATAAGTAGAGATTCCCGTCAAAACCATACATATTCCCCATCCCTATGGACCCCCCCCCCCAAGTACATGCACACACAAACACCCTCCACTACACCCAAACAATCCTCAGTCTCCATACATATAAACACCCACCTCCCATAATCCTCCCCTCCAACACAAACACTAACAACCTCCCCTTCCTGCACACCTTCCCCCCCCACACACACGATCTCCTCTCCACTCCACATACACACACTCATTCTTGTCTCCCTGAACAGCCTCTCCCACACACATCCAACACCAATCCATACGCATCCACATACAGACACCGGTCTCACTTCAGACAAAACCCCCTCCATGTGCACTTTCCTGCCCCCAGGAAGCCTCATTCCTACACAACAAAGCCTCCTGCCTCCCACTCAACACACTGACTTCTGCTTTTCCCCGCCACAACCCCACTCCACATACACCCCCCAATTCTCAGTCACCACCTATATATATAATCCCCTTCTCACCATCCTTACACACCCCAAACCCCATCCCCTCACCCCCACTTTCCCATCTGCATTCTCACACAGCCCCTCTCCCCCGCCCTTCACAATCCTTCCTCTGCATCAACACATGCAGACAAAAAGCCATCCCCGAGCACAAGCCTTCGCCCAGTGCACACGCGCCTCCCCTGTACACCTGCACAGCCCTCCTCTGCGCGCACAGGGCCCCCTCTGTACACACACAGCCCTACCTCCGACACAATGGCTCTGCGCAGGGCGAGGCGGGGGTGCTTTGGGTCTCACGATTGCGCGCTGCTCTGCCGGGCTGTGGGGTCCCGTTCCGCCCCGCGGCCCCGGCAGTCGCTCGCCAGACAGTGGGGACGGGTCAGGGGCCGCTCCTCGGAAAGCGGAGTCGGGCCCCCCGCATCCGCCCCCGCAGTTCGGGCCCCGGCGCCGCCGCTCAAAGGCCAGAGACAAACACGCACCTGAGTGTGGCCGGGGGCTGGCAAAGGGCAGCGGGAGACGGGAGACGCGGGCTCAGCTTAGCATCCCGGGGAGCCGAGCGGAGAAACGCGGCGGAGTCAGCGAGCCGCCGCCTGCGCGGAGATCGGGCTGTTCCCAGCCGGCTGCCTCGCCTCTGCGTGCGCCCAGCCCTTCCTCATCAATATGCATTAGCCTCCGGAGCCTGGCGGCCGCCCCTGCTTCGGATAGGAGGCCTGCTCCGAGCACACGCTGACGAGGCCCACTCCTGTTCCGAGGGGCACCGCTGAGGGCAGCGCGCCCGGGGGCAGGAGGGAGGAGGGCTTTCTTCCCTAAATCCAGAGCCGCAGGGATGATGCAGACACGCAGCAAGCAGGTCGGGGCTCATTTTGACAAAAGCAGGGTTGTCTGGGGGAAGAATCCCAGCAAAAATGGAAGATTCTTTCCCAACCACAGCATAGGAGAAATGAAAGATAGCATCTCCGTGATGCCTCCAGCCATTTGGGATCGAAGGGATTTGGGATTCCCTTAGATCCCCAATGGCTGGAGGCATCGTGGAGATGCTATCTTTCAGACTCACAGAAGGAAACCTTTCTACACAAGCACCCTCCAGAAAAAGGTCAGGGGAAAGATATCTGACAGCATCAAACCCTTCTGCTTTCTGCATGTTCAGACAAACTGTTCTGAGCCAGTCATTTAATTCAATGAGTCAGCAGGAGGAAGTCCATCCTAACCTGCAACCCCAAAATCTCTGTTACAGAATAATAAGGAGGTAACATAAATAACAGGCTCGACTCCTACCAGCATCTATCAACTGGGAGAGTTAAAAATCTGTGTGCCTCCCACCTGTGTTGCATTGAAATAAAGGATAAGAGAATATCACCTTAAACAGAGAGAAGATTTATTACGGGATAGTTACAACTGGGTGAAGATCCACTAAGGGGATCCACTACAATACCCAAGAATAGATTCCAGAAAGGGACATAAAGCCCAGACCCTTAAACTGTCCCTTGGTTAAACTATTAAGTGCCAGAAAAACAATTACTGTCTCTCTTTCACTGCAGATGGAGGTCACCGGCCACTGATGGACCGTCTCAGAATCTTTGGAACGTCGGAGGATCTGGTTCTCTATGGCCAAAGCAGAAGATCAACAGATCTGAGCTGATGGCAAAGTCTTCACTGAATCCTTTGGTGGAATACAGGAATCAGGTAAGTATCAAAGTCCTTGGCAGGTAGGTGTTAGTGACAGAAGTCTTGATCCGATGCCCGCGCCAAGAAACTGGACGTGGCTGCCTTGATGGTGGACAGCACCTGCGTCACCACTGACAGTTCCTTATATGCTCTCTATGATGTGAATTCCTGAAGCACACTCTGGCAGACACTGCCCCCAACCGGTTCCAGACAGCTCTCAGTCTCTCAAGTTCTGGAGGGAAACAGAGTTTTGGCGGGAAAAAGCCAATGAAGAAAGGATACCAAGATGGAGTTCAATCCTTTCCTACCACATGCGCCATCTTGAATTCTTAGACTCCATTTTGACTCCATTTTGAATTGCAGCACCATTTATTATAACACATAACAAAAGTATAACCATACACCAATAACACCTTACATATCCCCTCCTTGACAGATGCGACCACCTTTAATAACCATCTGACATTATTGTGACATCCATACCATTGAACATCAACCCCATAATGTGGTTATGCATGTTGACACGTTACAAAAGGCTTGGCCGTAGGACCTTTAGATTTCTTTTTACACACATCCACACAGATATAATTATTAGATCTGCAATCATAACCAGCTGCATGGAGCAAGCCTTCCTACATGGACCCAATCTAGCTGTGAAAAGAGCTTCCCAAAGAGGTTTCCTCACCAATTCTTTTCAACACCTTTTTGATTTGCCCCACAGAATGATGTACAGGGAGTAAGGGGTGAGCTCCTTGAGCTGCGTTAGGTGATAAAGCGTCTAATGTACCATAAGGATATGACTTAACACGTGGAGGTTCTGCTCTTGTATGAGTAGATGGAAGATGGTCATAGATGGAATAAGATGCTATTATGTTCTGCACGTCCACATCTGACAGGGTAATATTTATATTGCAGCCCCTCACAGAAAAGACAAACATATTATCTCCTGCCTCATGTTCAATGTGATAAAAACCATTGATTAACACATTTTTACACAAAGTTCTTACACACATACAGTGACTAGCAATAACCACTAGAGCTGAATTTTGAAAATACATAGGATGGTGAAGCTGGTAATTACATTTTCCTTCATGGGGAATCTAAACATATCTGAGTCTCCTCCCATACTCCAGTGGTAAAGGTAAAACCCAATTTGTCTTGCTCCACACAGGCTTGTAAATTAGTAAATAATATTGTTCTCCTCTTACATCCACCATTAGGGATCATTAGGGAATTGTTTACAAACATTCCCAAAGGAATCAGGGGGTGAATCCTTTCCTCTGTGGCATCCAGTGCCATCCCTAGCCATCTTGGTGTCCTATGCAGCCCCCCCCCCCATGGGGGAGAGGGGCAGCCCCAGGCCTCCACGGGGGGGCAGGAGCAGGCTTTGGAGGCAGGGGGGAAGTGCCCCCCAGCACAAGCCGGCAGAGCAGAGTGGGTTGGGGCCGAGTTCCTACTTAATTGCAGGGCGGGCCTGACCCTGCACTCACAGGGCAGCAGGAAGTGGAGTGACCTGGCCCCAGCCCACTCCACTCTGCTCCCCTGGCTCCCAGCCTTGGGGGGGCAGAGGGGACCGCCCCCCAGCACTCACTGGTGGCGCGGCTGGGAGCCGGCAGCGTGGAGCAGGCTGGGGCCGGGTCACTCCACTTCCCGGCACCTGGTGAGTGCAGGGCAGGCCCAACCCCTGCTGCAGTCCTCGGGGGAAGGGGTGGAGTGGGGGCGGGGCTGGGGTGGAGCAGGGGCAGAGCAGAGCAGGGGCGGGGGCTTTGGGGAAGGGGTGGAGTCGGGGCTAGGGCAGAGCAGGGCCTGGAGCAGCACGCAGCTGCATAGGGCACCAGGAAATTTGGTGCCCCAAATTTCCTGGTGCCCTACACAGCTGCGTACTTTGCGTATGGGTAAGGATGGTCCTGATGGCATCCCTTAAAGTAAGTATGTATGCCTCGATAGTCTCATTAGCATGGTCATAGGCAGTACTGGGTTTACAATGGCGCCATGGCGCCAGGCCCGGGCTCCAAAAGGGCCCCGGCCCAGCTCAGCCCGCTCTGGTTGGGCTGCACTCCAGCGCCCCGCCAGCTCTTCTCCACCCCCCCGCCTCTGCCCCCTGCCCGCTGTTCTCTCCTGTTGGATTGTAGGCCAGTCGAGGGCTCCTCTCTGCCTCCTGGCCACAGCTGGGGCTGACAGAGCTGGAGCCCCGTGCCACCTGGATGGGGCTGCTGACCCCCTGCAGCTCCGCACTGCCAGGGCTGACCCTTCCTCTACTCCCTGACCCCCCCTTTCCCCGACCCGTCCTCCAGTCCCCAAGCTCCCTGCGCTGTGGCCAGGGGCTGACCCCTCTCCCACGCTCCCCATGTCGCAACCAGGGGCTGACTCCCCTCCTCGAGCGCCGCATGCCACTGCCAGGACCCTCCCCACACCACTGCTAAGGGCTAGGGCTGGCCCCTAACTCCCCCAAGCTCCATTCTACCTGCTGCCTGATACCTCGTGTCGCTAACCCCCCTACACACATTCCTCCACACCCTGCTAGGGGGGCACGCTGGACATTTTTGGTAAACTGGGCATTTGTTCGTTTGCTCTTGCCAACTAATTAGTTGGCAAAAGCAAACGGGATAAATGCCCATTTTTGTCAAAAAAAGTCAGGACGGCTGAGATAGAGCTTAAAAAGGGAACTGTCCTGGCCAAAAGGGGATGTATGGTCACCCTGTCACCAGGCAAGTGGGCCCTGAGGGAGCCAGGCTAGGGCAGGAGCAGGCCTGGCCTGGCTGATCGCGCCACTCCCAAGAGGCTGGAGCAGTTCCCCGCCCTGGCACTGGACTGGCCCCGGCCATGCTGCCAGCTCAGCCTGGCAGATGCAGTCACCTCCCAGCAGGGCTGGTGAATGTGGGTGGGGGGCAGGGTGTGAGGGAGTGGGTTTCTGGGAGTATGTGGGGGGGCTGCTGGCCAGTGGGGGGTCTGTTGGGGGAGGTCTGTGTGTTGGGATGCTGGGGAGTGGGGGTCTGAGTGGGGTGCTTTGCAGGTGTGGTGGTGGGGCTGTGGGGAAGTGCATTGGGCAGTCGTGGTACAGCTGTATGTGGGGGTGCTGGGCCACTGCACATTCGTGGTGGAGGGTCTGTGGGGGGGGGCTGCTGGGCATAGCAGTTCCAGGGGACACTGGGCATAGGGGGCTGTGTGGCATGGCATGGGCCAACCCCTGAGGAGAAGGGGCAGGCTGGCAGCACAGGGCTGGGTGAGCCAGTGTGCGTCTTGCAACCGCCAATTTGTATACAGTGCCCTTGCACTGGGCTGGGCGGAGCGGAGCCGGCCCTGCCATGGTATGTCCCAATGCCCCTGGCCAGCCCCTTGCTCTGGGGACCGACCTCCCCACACCATGCTCCTTTGCCCCCATTGGGGCCCATAAATAAGTTTGGTGCCAGGCCCACAGAAGGTTAATCTGGCCCTGGTCATAGGTGAAATTCACCATTTTCCACCATTGCTGCTTTTCCTTTTTGCATTTGGTGGCATTAGACCAGATAATGTGTTTAATTTCCTGCAACGCTATACCATTATAACCATCCCCGAGTACAGCCTTTGCAATATTAAGAAGCAACTGTTGTGCTTGCATACATTCAAGTGCCTCTGTTCGATCAGACTATGGTATCTCTAGTGTTCCTATAATCTGAAGGTGGTCCATATCCTGCACTTCTAACCATGTTGGTAATATGTTAGCAATATTAAAACCTAATTCACCCAAGTCATTCAATTCTGCTGAGAGGGGGTTGGCTTGTGAGGAGATGTTGTGTCCCACTTCACCTATGCATGACGCAAGGAACTGTTGATCTACGGTATTCAGCACTCCTAGTCCAGTTCCCACCCCTCCTAGGATCTTAGCAGCCAGACCCAGTGGGGAGATGGTTGTTGCAAGACATTGCCTTGTACCCACACCATCCATCCCATTAACAATGCTCAAATAAATTGGTTAGTCTCTAAGGTGCCACAAGTACTCCTTTTCTTTTTGCGAATACAGACTAACACGGCTGTTACTCTGAAACCTGTCATTAACAAACATGTTACATATTGGGCACGTTCTTTATGCATA